AAAAAAAATTGTTGTTGTCATTTTTCTATTGAATAAATAGACCTACTTGTGCCCAATTCGAGTTTTGAAATTTCATAATCAAAACTTAATTTTCGTCCACATCTCTACTCAAAACCCTTGAGGATTGTGCTTTGTGTTTGATTAAGGATTCTTGAGTCTATCTAATATTTTGGTGTAGAAACAACTAATTGTGTCGGTAGGGAAGTCGAATATCTTAGGTCGTATGTTATTATAATATTTTAGGTTATCTATCTCATTTTATCTTGGGAATTAATTGCAATGCTTTGACATCCGGCAACTTTGTAGGTGTGTTGTCTGAAAACCCTCACGAGACACAAGTCGTCCATTAGGGGTACGCAGGGGTTCAAAGGCTTGTTGCATACGCTAAATGCAGTCGTGATTCCTTACGTTAGTGGCATATGATTAGTTTTTTGCTTTTGTTGATTTTTCTTTTGGGTTGTTGTTTTTTTTTTGTTTACTCGGAACGAGTGAAGATCTAAGTTTGAGGGAGTGATAAGTGTTCGTTTTGTACGTTTTTTACTTATCGAATCTTTGAGTTTTGGTCTTCGTTCTTCCGATTTTTCGGCTGTAATTGTACATATTATGTTTTTTTTATTTATATTCTATTTTTTGTCGATTCAAAACGATATTGAAAGCGAAGCCGAGGATCAAACCAAACACGTGCAAAAGTGCATTATCGCGGGTTGTGGCACTGTTTGGTATTACAAGCATAACTATTGCATAGAACCTCTGATTGAGCTGATTCAAGTTGCCTTAGAAAGCTAAATTCAAGGTCTACAACTTTTGGAACGAAAAATTGTCAAATTCGGGCTACAAAAAGGTCAAAACGGTGTTTGAAGTTGATGCAGAGGCCAGATCGCGATCCAGCTTTCCTGTATTGTGATCTGGGAGGTCTTACAGAAGGTTGCTTGATCAGGACCTAGATCGCGATCCAACCTTCCTGTATCGCGATCTGGGGGGTCTCACACAACATTTTCGATCAAGAACCAGACCGCGATCCACCATTCCCGTATCGCAATCTAGCAAGGCGGTGCGCAGTTTTTTAGGTTGCCTGATCACGATGCAAGAAGCCCAGATCGCGATCTGGGCACATAAATCGAGACCATATATTTTTATTTGTTTTCTTAATACAAATACAAGGTCTCTTTTTCATTTTTAAATCTCAAGAACTCTTCTTCACTTTTTCTTTGGTTTTCTCATCGGTTTTCGCTAGTTTTTCGCGGGAAGCTTCGACGAGGGTTTCGACTCGGGTTTTTCATCAGCTTTTTCTTTACTTTTAGGTTATTATTTCTGGTGTTCTTCATTTTGATGCTATGTTTCTAATGAACTGAGTATTTTCTTTTATGGAAATGAAACCTTGTATATATTAATTTTGATTTTAGATTTTGTGATCTATTTGTCGTTCTTTGATTATGTTTTATGTTTTCCTGTATTAAATGCTTTCGTTTGTTTGGCCGACATTTGAATTGATTGTAAATGGGAATGAAATCGAGACAGGATTGTCTGATTTTAGGAAAACATAGCTCGGGTTGTGGAAACGGAGACGTGATGCCCCTCGAGTAGCCCTTAAGGACTTGACCTAAATGCTCTCTTAATATCAGGTTCTGAACGGAGACGTTGGACCTGTGGGTAGACTCTAACTACACTGGAGATGGGGATTAGGGTATTTTAGCGTCTAGGTGGGTTACCGAATATAGAATTGACATTAGATTCGGATTTGTAAATCTTTATCGACAGTAAATTGGTGGATTTTACCCTAGAAGCCATCACACGTCGGAATTCCTCGCTTTTACTGGCGGACCGTTGTTTTTATTATTCCTTTTTTTTTTCTTTTTAGCTTCATCCCCACCCTTTCGATTGTCTAGGTAAAGTTTAGGATAATATAATTACGGTACTTGGTAGATTTGGGAACTTAATTCTCTGTGAATCGATATCTGGAATTCACTATTCTACAAAACGCGATATTGTACACTTGCGGTTTTTCATACGTAAGTTTTACGCGTATCAAGTTTTTGGACCACACTCATGTGCATTATCAAATGCAATATAACCATATTCACCACGTCTTCGTCAGAAGTCAGTGTGACAAACATTCTTTCACGAGGAGCCAAGTATTGGAGCACCAATTTATCGGGATGTATATCGTTCCACTTCCTTATGACAAATTCATAGATCTCCATTAAAGTCGAATCATTATGAATGGAAATGATGTGCAGATAATCTTGGTACCGACAACTTCCAAGAATACTAGCGGCGAGGGAGTTTGATTCACCATTGTTGCCATTGTGGAAATTTCAGTTTTTTTTCACGGTCGGGGAAGAGAAAGTAGTAACAAAGAATATGAGGAAAGAGAGAGAAGAGAGAAAAAGAAGAGAAAAAAAAGGAACAAAGAGGAGAGAGGAGAGAGAAAGAGAAGATAAAAAAGGAAGAAAAAGGAGAGATGAGAGAGGAGAGAGGAGAGAGGAGAGAGAAAGAGAAGAGAAAAAAATAAGAAAGAGGAGAGAGAAGAGATGAGAGAGAGAGAGAGAGAGAGAGAGTGTATAAAGTGAAATAAAATGGCGTTAGGGACTGAACTGCATGTTTATATTTGCTTTAGGGACTGACTCGCTTGTGAAATATTGTTGGGGACTCAGTCGCATGTTATGTTTGGACTTGGGGATTTATCCGTACTTAACCCTATAAACAATCACTGTTGGAGTGAGTTGAAAAAAATGGTGTGTCAAAGGACTGTTCATGTACTATAAATTGAGATAAAGTGATAATATTTACCATAGTTGTTAGAAATGCTCTAACGCTATCGTGTTAAGGGAAACATGCACCAAATTCTTTGATTTTGTATTAATTAAGTTGTTAAAAATTCTAAATATCAAATCGTTTACATGGATTAAGAAATGGGAAGTCGCAAATAAGCCCACGAGATACTACTTATTTTCAAATCCTTCCACTTCGAAATCTCTTCTACCAACAAGGACATCAATCCTTCTGAAGACTAAACTTACCTCAACATCTAACTTACTCCAATTTTACCCCCAAAACCTAGTTTAACCATTATTGGACATTGACTGTATAAAAAAAATATTGATGAGGTATATTTTTACTTTTGCATTTTGTTGTTTCAAAAGGATTGATGGATGCAAGAAAAATGATTTGACATTTGGCATCCTAAAAAAAACTGATAAAATGTTAAATTACCTTTATTAAATTTAAAATGATTCGGTTAAGCATAATGCATGATTTATTGTGGAGACGAGCAAGACAAATTGGGGAAAATTAGAAAAACTGGAGGAAATTAGGGATTGTAATTTTGAAAAGACAAAAAAAAAAAAAAAAAAAAAAAAAAAAAAAAAAAACCTTCGAAATCGTATGGACCTGCTACCTTTTGCGTGCAGGTCGCGGATTTTTTTTCCCCATGAATCTGCTATTTTTCACGTGCAAGTGGCGGGTTTTCAATTTTCCTATGGACCTGCTACATTTTGCTTTTGCGCTCAAGTCGCGGGTCTTCAAATTTTTCATGGGCATGCATCTTTTGCTTGCAGATCGTGGGTCTTCAATTTTTCCATGGGCCTGCACATTTTGCGTGCAGGTCGCGAGTCTTCGATTTTCCCATGGGCTTGCACCTTTTGCGTGCGGGTCGCGTCTTATAATTTTTTTTCCATGGACCTGCTACCTTTTGCGTGCAGGTCGCGAGTTTTCAATTTTCCTATGGGTCTTCACTTTTTGTGTAATATTTTCTCAAAATAATTTCTTTAAAAACTTCTAAAAAATGGATTTAACAAAATAAGATGGTATTTATATTAGAATTTGAATTTTTAAAATAAAATGTCATACATTTACTAAACCTTGTCATGCATTTATCAGCACCCATTACTTAAATATTGTGCTACAATCTTTCTCGATGGTTAGTCAAGTTCCATTTAGATTGTGACCACATATTCTTTATATTCTAAACGAAGTTTTGAAATGATCATACGTGTACTCATCATGGTATAGTACACCATTTCGAATACTATTAAAAATAAGACTTGTGCATTTAAACAATGGCTAATTTCATTTATCTCCTATGTACTAATGGGAAATATACACTTACCTTGTACTACCAAAACCTTCATTTACCCCATGAATTATATATTGTACCTATTATACTCTCCTTTAAGTTAAATATATCCCTCTTCATTTTCAAATTGAACTTCTATTATTGTACATACTCATTTAATTGTTATTATTATCATTATTTTTTTTGGGTCTTAAGATATAGGTCCCTGGTGACAAAACTAATTAGAACTAAATACCAAGCTCAACTAAACATTTCCTTCCCATCCTTTATTAAATTCATTCCAAAAATGCCGTTCCACTCATCTTTATTTTTTCAATTTTCACTCTGCATTTTTCACATTATTATAAACAATGTTTTTTTCCTTATTTATTTATTTTTTTGAAAATTATAAAAATTTTTCTTCTTATTGTTAAATAATTCAGCTGATTTTAAAAAATACTATGGTATACTATGGTGTAATATCGGTTACACTATTATTAAAAAAGTACTTTTTTCTACATAATATTGAAAATTACAAAACACAACATGTTTTTCGTTTTTGTTTATTCAATCTACACACACACACACACACACACACACACACACACACACACACACACACACACACACACACACACATATATATATATATATATATATATATATATATATATATATATATATATATATATATATATATATATATATTTGTTGTAATGTAGTATACTATGGTATACAACGGTGCACTATGGTCTACTACCAAACCCTAGCAGCCAACAACACACAATTCTCACCAACCCTAGCAGTCAACGCATCAGTCATCAAACCCTAGCAGCCAACATCTGCTTCCGTCGCAACCGTAGTCACCTACCAACTTTGAGAAAACCTAGATTTTCAATTTCAAACCCAAATCAAGCAAAATCTCTTGAAGATCATGAAAATCATATGCAATTAGTAAAAAAAATATGTTTTCAATCAAATCTCCACAATAACCACATTCCCGCCGTCACAACCACCACAATCCCTCGCCGCCATATCGACCACCACAACCCGCCGCCTCGACGAACACAGCCCGCCGCCTCAACCACCACAGCCCCCCCACTGCCGCCTCGACCACCACAACCCCTCGTCGCTATTTCGACCACCACAACCCGCTCCCTCGACCACCGCAGCCCGCCGCCGCCTCAACCACCACAACCCCAGCCACCGCCGCCTCGACCACTACAACCCCTCGCCGCCACCTCGACCACCACAACCCACCGCCGCCGCCTCAACCAAAACCCCTGGCTCGGCTACTAGTGAAAAAATTAGCAATAGAGAGGTTAGAGAGAGAAAAAAAATGAGAGTGAAAAGAGATTAAGAGAACGTGTGAGAGATTGAGGGAGAGAGAACGTGAGAGAAACCAATAGAACGAAATGAATCTAAATTGAAGAACCGTGAATATGTAGGTTATATAATTTAGGATATAAGGGCAAGATAGGGATAAACAAAATTAGGAATGTGGCTCATATATTATTTCAAACGAAGGATTTAACTAAAAACTAAAATTGAACTTATCATTTAGTTCAAATTAGGTTTCGCTTGAGGGACTCATAGCATATTACTCTCTTTTTAATTCCTTTTCAAGTGTACGCACTTTATCTTTTTACAATATAATTTATTAAATATTTTATTATTAATTATTTCTAGTTATTATTTTATTTAATCAAAATAATACACCAAGAATAATTTATAGCACCAAAAACAAATTAAGATGAGTAATTAAATTTAAATGTTAAATATCATTGTAAAAATTATTGAATAAATAATAGAAAAATATTGAGTAAAAACATTGTTTACATTATGAATCTTATGATACTTTATATTTTATTTATCTTTGGAATAAATATCATTAAGATGAAAAATATGATTAGAGAGTTCAATAAAATTAAACATCAAAGAAATGCTAGAAAAATTTAAAAAGTAAAATACGATTCAATTAAAAAAAAGCATTTTATGTGACGAAAACATTTGTTGCAGAAACCTAAACTTTCGTCACATAAATGTTTATGTGACAAATTATTTCGTCGCAACGTTCGTCGCGTAGGGCCTGTCGCGAAAGGTGTTATGTGACGAACGATTGTTTTGTCACTAGAGATTGTGACAAAATGTAATTTCGTCACATAGTTGTATGTTTTTGCGACGAGATGTTCGTCACATAAACAAATTAAATGTGTCATAACATGCTTATTTCGGCACTCATTTAACTTGCTTATTGTGACAAATTATTTCGTCACATGAACTACAAGATCTAATGAGACAAAAGTTTCGTCCCATAAGATGCATTTTTATAATGTAAATTTACCTGACAACAAAATTTATCATATAATATATACATATATTATACAACTACTCAACAAAGAAATTGTATTTACGTGAGATAATAAGGATGAAACAATCACCTATCGCTAGTTGAGTTGAAACTGACATTTCCAAAAACACACCCAACAACGTCCTGCATTAATAATCATAATACACATGTACATTAATAATCATAATACATATGTACGAAAATAATTATATATGTATAAAAACTAGACAAATCAATATAGACAAATAGATGATATTAATATAGCTCTTTTCATCTAAACAACATAAATTAATTTAACATACTCAATATTGTTCCCAAAAATAAAAACAACTTAACTAAGACGAACTATATATAGGATTCGTGAAGGTGATAATCTAATGATCATGCCAAATAAGATGATAATCTATTTTTGATACTATCACTTACATATAGTAGTCTTGAACTGCGTAACAGCTAAGACAAGAAAATATCCGACACGATCAACCTTCACACAAAAACACAGTACCAACCAACTTCAGTCTTCAAAAGCATGTACCATCATTCGACAAGAATCACAAAACTCAAATTATGATACACAATAACCGAATTTTGACATAAAAACTATATTATTAAATTCATCAAATCATACATTGTAACAAGTTCTTACCATAAAGAATTTTGTGTAGTACTATTCCCTGGCATTTTCAGAAAGAATTGTTGCATTTCTTGCATTTGTACTTGCAAAGTCTCTATTTTTTCTTCATAGCTCTTGTTTTTCTCATTTTGCTCTACTAATTATGTACTGAGGGTACCAATTATGCTCCTTGCGATTTGAAGCTCAATTTCACTTTCTCGTGTATTTGAGGAATATTTACTTCTGCTAGGAACTTCTACCCCATACCTTTTTGGTATCCAGATCTATGACCAAGTGTTGTTACTAGGATTTGATCCTCTGACATGATATTTTCGGCATCTTCCAATGAAGCTTCTTCTAATTCCATCATTTTATAATACAAAATTCAAGTATATATCAAATATAAACGATAATGTGTCGTTAAATAACAATATTATCAAATATATTACAAAAACAGATGCCGCAACAGAATTAACAAATTGGCCAGTTTTGTCCACATGAGTTTTTCTCTATAGCTCAATCTTGTTTGTATTTTCTTGTTTAGAATAAATAAGTGAATAGTATAATATTTTTTCATGGCATAAATGAATAGTATAATCTGACAGAAATAAAATAAAATTACATACCATGTTTCTATAGCGAGAAAGGTATCTGATCTTCCCAGAAGTGTGGCTGAAAACATTTTATCTTTATTGTTTATATTGGTAGTTGATCTCTCCTCGATTGACATGTAAAAAATATTTTATTTATTAACTTTATCGTAAGAGAAATAAAATCTAACTGTGTGTTGTTTTTCTTTGAACTCAAGATTTTGTGAAACTTTAAAGGCTATAAAAATGCATGTACCATCTACGAAGATTGTATAAGAATGGTAGAAATTGTATTACCTTGAGTGAGGATTCTACGATAAAATTAAGTCGGATATCAAGTTGACGTTGTATCTTCCTCAACCTTTTAATCTGCAATGAGAGTTGGCATTAGTAAAAAATATAATTTGTAAGCGGTGTGTAATATGCCAAATACATTTACTCAGCTCCAACACACACACACAATCCCACTGTATATGTGTCCGTGTGTGTGTTTCTTGGAGAGATAGTAGTTTCAGGGGCCTGATGAGTATATATATATATATATATATATATATATATATATATATATATATATATATATGTGTGTGTGTGTGTGTCCGTGTGTGTGTGTGTGTTACACAAGCATAGCAGAGGCATCAACACAAGAAAAAATAAAAAAATAGTGGAAAATACATGGCTAAAATCATCTTCTAATTGTGCTCTCCTAAAATATGCTCATTAAAAAAATTCTCAAACAAAATACTCAAATAACATCTCCAGCCAATTAAAAAAGAAAAAAAAAAAAAGAAAAAAGAAAAAAAAAAGGGAAAAATTGGACGTGCGTAGAAGGGGAAAACCTTCAAATCTTAAGTCACGTGTATTTGACCATAGCCCAATCCAATTGGAACAACAGTCACAAAAAATGGTGGATTAACAAACGCAAATTAATTTCATATAACAAAATTGGTGTTCATCACCCGAGAACAAAAAATAATCTGGTTGCTTTCCGTGTTGCAGGTTATTAAGATGTTCAAGGTAAACAAAAAATTCACTCATGAACTTACCGAATTGCTCTAAACGAGTCGACACCAAAAGCGGAATTATTGAAACTTTACGTTCTCTTCTGAATCGATCGAGATTGATGGTGGCGGAGGCACCAGAAAGCTGACGGTTCTATAGTGGTGGTGGTGGTGGTGATGGTGGTGGCGGAGGCACCGGTGATGGACGCAAAATCTAGAAGGAAAGGGGAAGAAAATAGAAGAGAAATAATCTAGAATGAAAGGGGAAAAGTGAGAGAAAATGAAAAAAAAAAAAAAAAAAAGGGAATATTGTGAAGTACATTTTATCACAGAGTAAAAAATCTGGGAATAAATTTTAATTTTTATGAATAAATAATTTAGATTAATTTATGTTTGACGAAGTACATTTTGTCACAACAAATAAATAATGTGACTAAATTACTTTTGTCATACGAACATAAAATGCTGTCGCATAATTGAGACCGCCAGTTAAGAAATAACAAATCCTACAATCTATTGTGACGATTTTTACTGTTGTCACCTAAAATGGATTTTCTGTGATGATATTTATTTTTGTCTCATAAATTATTCATTTATGAGATGAACTTATATTTAGTCATAAGATCTCCACTCTACTTTAACGAATTTGGGTTTCGTCACAATAAATTGTCACATAAAACGCTTGTTTTTTTGTAATGCGAGTACAAGTTATAGATACTAGAATAATTTTTATATAAAATTGGAAAGAATTAAGTTTGTAAAATAATGAAAGAGGAGAGACTTGTCTTAAAAAATCCGAAGAAATGGGTATAGTTGGTATAACACGTAGTTTAGAGGGTGTAAGTGAAATTAACCCTTTAATTAATCGATAAACATTCGATACATATTAAAAGTATTTAAACACTCATATGAAGATTCTTATCAATGGCTAATGTTAATTAACTTTATTAATAATTAAATCATTTACATAGATACAAGCGATGATTTAATCTACTATCCTAACATAGATGTCCATTACATCAGAATGATGTTCCAGTTAGTTCAGCCTGTAATGTTCGAACTTCAGCGCGGTTTTCCTCGAATATGCCTTTTATGAAGCTTTCTTCGAATTTCATCAATACATTTATTCTGATGGTGAATTAGGTATCCAATTTAATTTGTTAGAATCCGTTGGACTCCGGCTTTACAAGGATTACTTATAAAATACTTGTTCCTCAAGTCTGAATATACCGTATCATAAAGATAGGGAAGTTTCCTTGTATTTTATAAATTCCCTATTTTGTCATTAATTAATTAAAAGTTGAGTTACACTATAACAAAAAAATCATTTTTTCTACAACTCCTGTCCTTTCGTAATAATGAATTATAACATTAATGGACTCCAATTCATTGCAGGGCTCGTATTCGAATAAAGGAGTATAAGAGGAGCACAGACGTTTGATAAGTTCGTCCTTTTGTGAGAGAGAAATTTGTTTCTGCTATTTGTGTTTTTGGCTGCTCCCTATATTTGATACTGTTCTAAAAGAAAATCATATTCAAACTTTGCTTCTTTCAAAGGAAAAGAAGATCAGTTCTTCGTAGGAGAGCTTAGAAGATCTCGGGAGGAGATTGATCCGCCGATTGAAGGACTCAGCGTTGAAGGGATTTCAACTGTGCGGAGCAAAGGACACGTTGCAAATTGAAGATTTATAATTTCGAGTAGTATACAAGAACGGTGTCAACAAAGAGGGAGTCTTTCTATTTTGATTAAGTCCTATTATTGTATTCGTAAAACTAAAATTAGTAAATGTCAATTGCACGTCCCCATGGATGTAGGGTACAATTTTATCAGAACCTTATTAAAATTTGTGTCTTTTTATTACTGTTTCATTAACTGTTGCAACTCTCCGTAAACTAGTACCAGGAACAGAATCTGAGATTAATCCGACAAAAATAAATAATTCGTTTGCACGAAATAATTATAAAAATTGGCATCAAGAGCATGTCACTAAATACATCTAGTGAGATTTTGGGAACTAATAATTTTTATTTTGTGCAGATATCAACACTCAATGCGAAGGAGCTTCAACTACTCATCCACCCCTCCTAATCGGTTCCTACTACTCATACTGGAAGTCAAAGATGAAGATGTTCATCAAAACCATAGATGAGAGAGCATGGCATGCCATCATAACTGGTTGGACACCCCAATGATCAAATAAGAAGACAAAGCGGAAGTGATTAAACCAAAAGCAGATTGGAGCGATGGAGAGATATTACTCGTAAGCTACAACTCAATGGCCATAAACGCGATCTGCAGTGGCGTGGACGATAATCAGTTCAAACTGATAGCATCATGTGAATCAGCAAAAAGAGCTTGGGAAATTCTCCAAGTAACATATGAAGGGACGACAACTGTTAGGACGTCCAAGTTACAGATGCTGGTCACCAGATTCGAAAATCTAAGCATGGAGGAGAATGAGACGATCAACGATTTTCATGCTAAGCTATGTGATACCTCAAACTAATCATATGCACTCGGTGAACCCTACTCAGAAATAAAATAGTGAGGAAAGAAATACATTCACTACCTGAAAGATTCGCTTACCGAGTTCCTGCCACAGAAGAAGTCAGAGACGTTGATACTCTCAAATTAGATGAGCTCATGGGGAAACTGCTAGCACAAGAACGTAATAATGGTGAGAATCATCATGAAAAACATAGAGAAAAGAAGATATCCTTTCAAGCAGAAACTTCACATGTAACTCTGCAATATCGGTCAACTCAAGAAGATGATCAGACTGTTGAAGAGTCTTTGGCACTCTTGTCGAAAAATTTCGGGAAGTTTGTTAATAAAATTGGTAAAAACAGGAATTCTCCCAATATAGGGAAACCCTTGAACTTTCAAAACCCTAGGAGAAACCCGAATCAAGACAACTCAGATGATTCAAAACCGAGAAGAATACAATGCCGAGAATGCGAGAATTTCGGTCACATTCAGTCAGAATGCGCAAATACCCTGAAGAAAAAGAAAAGAATGTCGCTTGCCACTGTTTGCAGCGATGAAGAAGATTATGATGATGATGATCAAGGAAATAATGATCAGGTCACCAACTTTGTAGCCTTCAGTAGCAAAGTTCCTCTGAACAGTTCAGACTCAACTGATGCAACTGTCTATGAAACAAAATCCACGTATGAAATTGTCTGTTTTGATAATGACAAGAAACTAAACACAAGCTCTTCTTTTGCAGATGATCCCGATAGCAGCAGTGATGAGGAAGAACCAACCTTAGAAGAAGTAAAAGAGGTATACAAAGATTGTATCAAAAATGGATTGACGTTGTTAAGGTAAATGACTTCTTAAAAAAGGAGAAGCTTATGGTTATAGAGGAAAACATGACACTCCAGGTAAGAATTTCTACTCTTGAGGAGAAAGTCATATCAAGTGATCATGCGAAAAATAATTTGCAGGCTAAACTTACTCAAACTCAAGAATCAATTGCAAAATTGAACACATGTACAAGTAATTTAGATGAACTTCTCAATAACAATTAAGCAAATTATAATCGTCTAGGCATAGGAGCGCGTGAGCTGCCCAAAGTTGACTTAAAACAAAAAGAATATCAAATAAAAAATATCAACTTTGTTAAACAAACTCCTGTATCACAAACAGTTTCCGTTGTTGGGGCAACGACGCTCCATTCAAAGAAAAGATTTATTTGTATTTTCTTCGTTTGTCAAAATCCAGGTCATATCCGACCTAGATGCTTCAAATACTTAAAATTGTGAAAAGACTAGTACTAGGGAAAACATCTCTAAATCATGAGAATCTGCCAAAACTGAAGAATGTCCTACTCGTAGAGAGACTTATGTCAAATGTGATAAGCATTAGTCAGCTGTGTGATCAAGATCTTGAA